CTTCTCCTTCTCCTTCTCCTTCTCCTTCTCCTTCTCCTTCTCCTTCTTCTTCTTCCTTCTCGTTCTCCTTCTTCTTCTTCTCCTTCTTTTTCTTCTTCCTTCTCCTTCTTCTTCCTTCTCCCACTCCTTTTTCTTCTCCTTCTTCTTCCTTCTCCTTCTCCTCCTCCTTCTTCTTCTTCCTTCTCCTTCTCCTTCTCCTTCTCCTTTTCTTCTTATTCTTCTCCGTCATGTTTGGCCATTTTGTTATGATGAAGTGGTTGGACCAGCGCTTGGCCGTCCAGTCCAGTGAACGCCGCTGATGCTTTGACCGGTTCCCGTTGTTGTCGTCGTGCCTCTCCAAGGAGCTACTCCTGAAGCGAGACTGGGAGGACACGGGTTCGAGCTGACAAAAAACTCCAAATATGAACTCACAACACCAGGGGATTCTAAGGTGTGGCGCTGTTTGTGAAGTGTTACCTTTGTGCTTCAAATTCCCTCATACCAAAAACTGCAGCTCGTTTGAATCTGTGACCCCATTGATCATATCAACATGATGATGTCTTTGCCACAGGTGACGCTTCAAATGTCGATCCCTAGCCCCTTTGGATCTTCAAACCTTTTTGGCTGTCCCAAGCTCCATGCATGCCTTCTTCAACCGCCTTTTCGAAGCTCGTCATCCCGGCCAGGCGAGCCGCTCGGCCCTGGGCACGGCCCAAGCCGCCAGTGCCGCCGCCTGGGCGGCCGCGGCCGACGCGGACGCGTCCGCGGCCCGCGGGGGCGAAGGGGTGGCGAGGCTGTCGAGGTGGGACGATCTGCATGCGCTGTTCATGGTGGAAGCGGTCCGGGCCCCCAGCGGCCGCATCGCGCGCTGGAGGCGCTTCCGCAGGCCAACACCACTGGCCATAAAAGGGGGGGAAGGAAGGAGGACAGATTTTTGGGGTTGGTGGAAGTCGGACGCGCAGCTTGGAGGGACCCATGAGGCCCATGAGGCCCATGAAGGAAGAAGAAGAAGAAGAAGAAGAAGAAGAAGAAGCCGAAGCGGAAGCAGAAGAAGAAGAAGAAGAAGAAGAAGAAGAAGAAGAAGAAGAAGAAGCAGAAGAAGAAGAAGAAGAAGAAGAAGCAGAAGAAGAAGAAGAAGAAGAAGCAGAAGCAGAAGCAGAAGGAGGAGGAGGAGGTGGAGGAGGTAGTAGTGGTAGTGGTAGTGGTAGTGGTAGTGGTAGTGGTAGTAGTAGTCGTAGTCGTAGTCGTAGTAGTCGTAGTCGTAGTCGTAGTTATGACACCTTGGGGGCAGCAAGTGCCCCATGCCAACTCCTCAGAACCGCAAAGAGAGCCAAGAAATCCAAAGAGACTATAGGCACCATAGATGTACACTTGTGGCTGCAAAGAGAAGAAATACCACCCCAATCAGTCCTAGACACGAACCGCCCCTAGACCCCTCCTCAGGCCGTGGAGGTCAAGTTGGGCTCGGAGCTGGCACCCCAAGCGTTGCGCCAGGTGCGGAACCCCCGCGCCGAGCACCGCTCCAATCGAATGTGCATGTGCCATGGGAGTCTCATTGATCATGATGACATACGATGGTGGTTGTGATGACTGTTGAACAATTAAACACTTGCATTTGGATGTTTAAAGCTTGAAGCTTTAACTAGCACGAAGCAACTCACAGCACTTCTGAGAAGGCTTCAGGCTCAGGCCTTCCGGAAAACAGATCAACATGTTTGTAATATCCAGGCACGGTCCTCACTGGAGACAGAGATCAGTGCGCTGTGCCATACTGAGCCCTTGCTGCTGAGCTCCCTTCAGGTCCGTCGTCGGGGCTTGGTCGAGCCGTGGCACCTGACCTCCGGCTGACCATCCGAACATCTCGCATGGGAAGCTTCTTTTGGTGCTGATCTATGGTGTGAAGCCCTCCTCTCGTTCATCTTCAGCCCTGTTGGGGCTGATCTATGGTGTGAACATGGGTGGCTTGCGACAGATCAACGGGCGGTCGGACGGATGAGGATGCACCTCCGCCTGTCACTTCAATCAGGGGGAGGATTCATTTTTCGAGGTTACTCCAGTATGGCTTGTGCCGGGGCAATCCCCAGCCAGAACATAATGGGAGGAAATTGGGGGGTGACTCCACTTCTCCTATCTTCTCCTCGTTTTTTGCGTTTTTATCACCTCGCGTCCGCACTTAGAAGTGTGGCGTGTCCGTCTGCACTGGCCCCGGCCAGGTGCATGACGAGCTGCATCCACAGCTGGAGCTCTTAGATGCCTTGGTGCCCTGGTGGCAGGTTGTTTTTTGGGCCAAAGGTTGGTTGGTGGTCAGATGGGAAGAAAGGAGGGGAATGCGGTGAAGCAGGGCTGCAGGACATGAGAAGGGCTGCATGAAATAGCTGAGTAGCTGAGAAGATTGCTTTGATTTCATAATTTTCTTCTGTCGAGCCTCATACCGTGTCGCGGACTGAGTCAATACACGGCAGCTTTGCCAGGAATCGCCCGAGAAGACGGGCTGCTCAGCGGCAGCGCTTCGTCGTGCGGCTTCCTTGGATCTCTTGGAGGTGCTACAGGCTGGATGGGGTTTGAGTTTCTTTTTGTCCCCAGATAGCGGCAGCTATGGGTGACAGCTATGGAGTTTTGCTATCTGGCGTCAGTGGCCCTGAAGTGGTAGGATTTCTTTCAACAGATCAGCAGGAGGACTGGGTGCCACGTGGGGTTAGCTGGGTTTGCAGGTGCCAGAAGCCGATGCCTTGATGCAGACTTGCATGCAGGCGAGAGGGGCCCTGATCTTGAGATGTTTCGCTTCCGGGAGCTTGATGAACTGGGTGTAGGCTCACAATCCCACCGCAGGAAGTGGTGTCCCACATCGCCACAAGACAACGAGAACCAAGTCGCCACGAGAGTTTCTCCAGTAAACGGGCAGACCGTTGAAGATCGAGATGAAGAGCGAAAAGAAGTACAGATGCCCAAACACTTAACTCTTTGCAGAGCCGAACAAACGTCCAAACGTTTTTTCCTCGGACGTACCGGGCCGCGGAGGGGCGAGACCACGGTGCCGAGGAGCGGAGCTACAAGCTGGCGGAGTGGGTTTTGGACACCCAGCAGGTCTTGGAGCCGAGCCTTTGGCGCTCCAAGCTGCTGATGGCGCAGCGCGAGCGGATGGCCGAAGGTTTGCAGGTGAGCGGAAGTGGGGAGCAGCCTTTTTCCATTTTTTCCCTATTCACAACTCAAGTAACACTCATATAAGAGACCAAGGCTTCCAATACTAAAGTATCAGCATTGCGTTTCTAAATGTCGGGTTCTTCTTGTTTTCTTTCAGCGGATTGGCGGGGAGGCCTTTCTCAAAAAGCGACGCAGTTTGGGTCCAAACAGTCCCTCTTTTCGTCGGGGTGGCATACCTCATGGGTCGAGTGCGCCCCCGACCGCTCCGACAAAGGACCAAAGAAGTTCGCCTTGATCCGCCCAGAGTCTCTAAGAGAGGTTGAACAGCCCTAAGGTCGCCCATCCCATATGTACCACAGACCAGGGTCCGAACGTTCAGGTCTCTCAACCTAGTAAGGCCAGGAGCCCCTAGTAGCTTCTTGTTACTTATACTAGTAAGGCACTTGTTACTAGAAGCGGTTCGATGCACTTGTTCCTAGTAGCTTCTTGTTGCTAGTTCAGGTCTCTCAACCTCCGCGTTGGCCTCTGCCTCCGAGGTCTTGGACTATGCCCTGGCCTCGGCCTTCACGAAGCTGCGAGACGCGGACTTCCGCCGCGGCCGTCGGGCGGTGCACCACGAGATCGCCGGGCCACCTCGGCGAAGAAAGACCGGTGGGGACAGGGGTTGTGCGTGGGGAGTGGGGCCTGCCGTTGGGCCAACGGGCTTGTGCCACATGGTGCCAAAGACTGTGGCGCCTGTGCGGGGCCTTGGGTGGTTGCAATGGACCCCTTAGGTCAAGTACGGATTGGATGTGCATGGATGTGTGCTTTTTTGCTAGATACTTTGCCTGCCTTTGAGAGCAGAACCCTTCTGAGGCCAATAGCTTGGGATGGTTCAAGCAGGAGTCTTTGCAGGACACCCTCATTCACTCTCCTTCAATTGTTCAAAGATGTGGCCAGACCTCGCCTATGACTTGATGCCTGTGAACTTTGCTTGAGACAGGTGGGTCAAAGAAAAGCATTTAATAAATCACGGGAACACACACACACACACAAGATCTACCGGCTAAAACGCGTAACCTTCACCTCGGAGCCTTCAGTCTCCGCCTTTTCTTCGTTCGGTTGACGAAGGCTCTCCTCTCAGCTGCTGTCCTCCGTGGGCGCCACGCCCTCGCCGCGCGTGCTGCGCTCGCTGGTGGGGCTGGGCAAGCACCTGGCAGCGGAAGGTGCGGGACTGAGCTGCGAGTGGAGCGATGTGGGAGTGGATGCTCTCTCTCTGTCAAGGAAAAGAAGACATGCTAGACATCCACCGACTCTTTTTCTCAAGTGTTCAATGCTCATCCAGAGCGTCTCGGATCTCGGTCTCGTCTCGGGTGTCGGTCTGATCCTCATGGCTGTTTGGGTTGCTCTTTTGGCCGTGGTGACGGCAAGCCAGGATTGCCAAGAGCCCACGAGCTTGATCCAAGCGCACTCACGTACCAGTACCCCGATCGTGGTGAAGGGCCCGTCCCAATCTGGTGCCACGCCTGCTCAGCAGCTGGCGCCCATATGCGCTGAAGGGTTCAACGCTGCCTATGCCCAATGCTTGGGGGGTCAGAATTCTTATTTGATGATTATGGTCACAGATGCTGAAAAGGCCTACTGTGCCTACACGGACGGGTGGGCGGCGACCACCGAGAATTATCCGGATCACACAGCGTGCTTCGCAAGTCCAGGTCAGAGTGAAGCTCTTTACTATGACTCTAGCCAGAAGAGCTTAGTGAATTGGGACAAGGCCACCGTCGTCACAGGAGTGGAACAAGACTACACGAGCATCTCTTGCACGTCTGGAGGCGATGCCCCCCTGCAAATCGACGGTGCAGTTGCCACAGCGCCAGCTGACAAAGGGGGGCAAGCTGTGGCAAGATGTTCCTGCAGGTGGTGAGTATGCCTTCAACTGGAGCCCTTCGGATGGGTACATTGGGGTGATTACCAAGATTCCAAGTGAACAGAAGCAGTACTCCATGTATGTGAAGAACAACTTGGGCTCCAGCAGCAGCAACGGCCTCTCCGCCGACGTGCCCTGCGACCGCGACACCTCTGTACAGTACCAGGCGGAGCACTTCCCGGTGAACGGCCTCAGCGGACCCTGTCAAAAGGACAACGACGACTATTGGATGGCCTTCGGAAGCGGCGAGGTGACCATTTGCTTCCCAGGCGCCGCCTGCTGAGCGACGACCCCCATGTCCTCAGACACCAGACGAGGTTCACCGTCGCCAGAAGCGCGACACGTGGAGGTTTCGGACGCCAAAAGAAGTGGAAAAAAATATTGTGAAGAGCGGTGCGGCCATCTGTGGTGCTGCGAAGTGCCTGGTGAGTCTGCAAGGTGTTTCGATTCCGCAGTTTGGAAGTTGAGACCTGCAGGAGGCCTGGAGGCCGGGGGGGCCAAGTGGGAAAAGGCCGATTGGGGTTCTGCCCCAATACACAGCCTCACCATCGCCCGTTTGGTTCCAATCAGAGTGCCCTCTTCAGGTGCGCCGGGGCAGCTGTTCGACGAGTGGGCCGGGCGCTGGTGCACGGCGCTGATGGTTCCCGAGCTGTCGACGACGCTTCCGGGTGCACAGCTGAACCCCTTCTTCATGGGCCAGTGGCTTGGACAGTCGCATTCCTGGCTGCTGAGCAAGAGGAACTGGGGGTCAGCTGAGGGTGGAAAGTGCGAGGTTTTCGACGCCAAGGTTGGAATTGGGGCATGCTGAGGTCCAAAAGGTTGGGACCGGCTGATGGGGTCGCACATGTCGGGGTGGAGAAGCAGCTTGTGGAGAATGTGGCGAATGTCAGGTGAGAAGAACTGCTTGGTCTTGGCTAGTTCGAGTCCTTCCCGTCGCTTCCGCAATTCCAAGTCTTGACTGGGGCACCCCATATGTAGTCTAGGGATGTCTAGGGTAATTGTATATTGACGGGGCTGGTTGAGATGATATGAGATGATTCTCAATCTTGGAAGGGGTGAGTGAAGGGCCACTTTGGAGCACCCACCAGGCAGGTGATTTTACGATGTGTGAGAACCTCCCTCGGGCGGTGAAGGGTGTGGACTTCAGGTAGATCAGCCCAGACCACCCCGCTTCGGATCAGGTGGTTTGAACAGACCTGCCAGCTGTGCGATGATGGCCACCTTTGGGGGCAGTACGCGGATTGGCTTTTCCTGCAGGAGAGGGTGGAATGTGGAATGTGGAGTCTGTCAAGCTCATGACCAGCCCTCAATGGGACACTACCCACCACCCGAAAACAACGTATGTCCTGGTTCTTGCAGTGTTCTGTACCAACTTCGGGCTTCACGGATGGACCCCGTGTCAGTCTATTAGAGATCTATAGAGGCATAGGTCATTGGTGAGCCACCAGGGAAACTCTTCGCTTGGGACGGCTGGGACGGGGCAGCTTCGCAGATCTTCAGATCTGCCAGGCCTGGTCCTTGGAGCCCGCCTACGTGGAGGCCGTGCTTTCGGCGGCCCTCGGCAGCGCGGCCCCGCCGGAGCTGCCGCAGCTGGCGCGCTGGGTGGCACAGGGTATCCGAAGGCCGGCGCCCAAACGAGACATCGGCGGCCTCCGCGGAGCCAACGAGGGGCTGTTGAGACGCAAGCCTTGGCTTTTCTTTTTTTTGGAGGGGTCTCCCCATGACCACGGCCTTTCTCGATCGCCAGGTGGGTGAAGCATGAGAGCGGGCGAGCGACCGCGATGTCTTTGCAGTGGCTCTTGAAGCACTCCAAGGCACGAGCGCGTGCGGGCTCGCCAGGGTGGGGGCTCGGCCCAGGATGGGGCTCGGACGAGTGCGGGCTGGATGGAACGTGGATGGAACTGGAACAGCGCCGCCGTGACTTGAATCCCCTTAAGATCCTTAAGTGAGTTTGGAAGATCGTTCTCCTCGATAGATAGATTCCAGCTGTGCGCCAAGTTTTGCTTGGTCAATGTCTTTTGGTGTGGGTAGTCTGGTCGTGACCTCTTTGCATGATCACAAGGACGTCATGAGCGCCTCTTGCAAATACTGATTTAGAAACCCCCCCAGGCACCCCTCCCCAGGCACGCTCTTGGAAACCGACCACCCGGGACCACCCACATAGACTCTTAGGGTCGAAGAGAAGCGTAGGCCGTTGTCCTCGGTCGGGTTCCTCGGAACCCCCAGCCCCACCGGGCCAGGTGGGGCAGTGCAGGTGCTGGAAGGACGGATTCATCGTGGTGGGGACGAACAGGGAGGGGGTTCCATCAAGGTGGCGGGTGGAGTCTAGAGAAACGTTTTACCTTTTCGTTTTGGTCGCGTGGAGGTCTTGCATCCTCCGCTTGCCGGAGGACGTGTTCAAGTGGTGTTCGCTTCCCATGACCAGCTGTCTTCGCTTCGGTAGGACTTGGGAGAGCAACGGGCAGCGGCGCTGGCCGAGCCAATTGCATTCTTGGAGCCTCGGATGTTGGGGGTAGTGCCAACAGTACCCCCCTTCACAACTCTTGGCTCAAATCCCCAAGACTCTTTCTGCCTGTCCCTGTGAACTTTGGACAGGTTTGTCCATTCTGTTTTAGGGCACTTATGGCGAGAAACCTGAGATGCGTGAGATGCTTTCAGTGTGTATTATAGTGATCTCCCATTTTGTCCCAATGTCCTCACAACCCTCAAGGTCCCTTAGCTCTAAGTACGGAATATATTGAATATGCAGTACAGCTGGCGCACCCTTGGCATCCGAACATCCGCTGGCGCACCCTTGGCATCCGATCCGAGCAACCGCGCGGCCGAACGGCCGTGGAAACCGCAGCCAGTCCGGCATTTAGGCATCCACCTTCAGCCAGTGGCAACGCGCGGCTGGTGCACAGACCATCGAGGTGCCGCCAAGCAAGACCGGACATGAGACGTTTTGTTGTGACATGGGCACCCTCAAGGAAGGACTGTTGACTTGGTGAATTCTGACACCACCAGCTGCCAGAACTTTCCAGTCTCAGTTTTAGATGGAAAGGCTGGAACAGTTTGCTTTGTTTCATAAAGCCGCCGTGGTTTTTGTAGGATGTCACCCATGCCCCAACCGTGCTTGACGTGGCCTTGGCATCAGTCCATAGGGTGCTTGACTTGGGTCCAGTGATACCTTCTAAGAATGGCTGGAGCCGCGCTCGTGTCCTTCTCGAGGCGTACGTCCGGCACCTGAACCGCTCCGAGCTGCCGCCCAGCCATCCGCGCGTGCAGCGCGCGGTGCTGCGGTCCTTGCGGCTCACGGAGCGGCACCTGCAGAGGCCCAGCGCACTGGAGTGGCTGGAGCCGCTCGGTGAGGATGGCGGGATACGTGTGAAAGAATGAGAGGTTTAAGTTTATTGTTTTTACTCATTGATGTTGGGGTACACTTGGGTCAGGCGGGTCTGATGTTTGAGGGAGAGGCGCTTTTGAGGCCTAGCTTTCAGAAGGGCACGGCGGCACGGCGAATCGGGGGAACTGGGCGCCATGCATAGCTCTTGATGTGACGAGATGTTAAACACACCCTGGGAGTCAAAGACTATACTATACCAAGAATGGTCTTTAGGTGACCCAAAAAGGAAGATCCTTTACTTCAGTCAGTCAAAATATCGTCAGGCAGGACTTCTAGGGCAGAGAAAGAGGCACTCTTTCTCGGCTCCTTTGGCGTGGTCGCTCTTGAGCAGTCCCCCCCCGAATGCAGACCATGAGTCCACGTGTTCCGATCAATGCAGACGGTTTGGAGCTTCCGGCCGATTTGGCGACTGGTTAGAGCCACGGTGGAGCCTGAATGATCATCCACTGGGTCCTGGGAATGGGTTGTTATTGGCAGATGTATATACATATATTGGGGTGTCCTACTACCTGTAACAATCGATACAGGATTATCCCTATTGTTGAGAAAGGCCTGCAACTGAACCATCATCATCCACTGGGCCCAGGGGATGGTGTACACCCAAGAGTTTTCTACCAAAATCATTTCCTCTAGGAACAAGAACGCTACTAGGAGCAAAGGGCATTGCTGCTAGGGGCAAGAACGCTACTAGGGGCTCCTGGCATCGCTACCAGGAGCATTCTTACTACTAGGAACAAGAAGCTTGCAGAACAAGTCCTTGCATCAGGACGTTGCTCCACCACTTCTCCCTGAGGACGCGTTTCCTGGAGCCGCTGCTGCCACAGCTTCTGGCTTATATGAACGGAGCGGGTGCCCAGCTTCTGACTCGATGACGTGCTTGGGGGCGAAGGGGGATGTTGCAGTGGCTTCCAAGCAATTCCACTCGGCTTCACGTTCCATGGAAGTGGAACAACGGAGTGTTATCCCTTTGGGTTCCCTGAACCCGGGAGTCCCCCGAGGTCCCTCCACGGAGCACAGCGTGGCCACGGTGGCTGCAGGCGCGATCGAGGAATTGGATCGTTTTTGCTGGTGGATCACTGTGGCGACTTGGGACGGTCACCGGTGATGTCTTCGGTGACCGAAGAAGCTTTCTTCCTTGCAACAGCTGCCTGGCCTGGAGCCACGTAACGATGCTTTAAAAACCGATGATGCTGCCATCTACTTTCCAACCTAACTTCCCTCTACATCCCACTCCTGAGCAGTTCCCCAACCCCTCCCAACCCCCATGCTGCTAGCGGCTGGCAGGTTTGTTCGAGCGGGTGGCCGATCGGAAGCCACATGTGGTGCTCTTCCCAGCGCTGGCAGCAGAGGAGTCTTCCAAGGAGGGGAGAGCTGATTGGGGGGAGCGGTCTGAGCGGTCTGAGGATTGAGGAGGTTGGCCTGTGACAGCTCCCCCCCAAAGGTTGAACCGGGTTTACCGATTTCGACGGGAGACATGGTTTTTGGCGGTTTTGAGATGTTTGCTTGGGGGCTCACATTACCTCATGGGTTGGATCCTCACTGTGACAAGTGAAGCAAGGCGTTGAGGCGTGGATTTGGGGTCCGAGGTGCATTTTCCTGCCCAACTCAACCTGGTGACGCCCTGAACCATCAGGTGCAGGCCTCCACCAGGTTTCCGCTCCAAAGCGTTTTGGTCACCTCATCTGTATTGAACAGAGTGAACGCCCTAGGGTCCGCCTGGGTCGGCACATATCTTAAGCTTCCCAGGCCCCCCCTCCTCACACCTCACGTGGACGCCGAAGGCGCTGGCCATCGCCCAGCGTCTGCATCCGGCGCTGCTGGGCACCGCCTCGCGCTTCGCACGCGCGTTGAACGCCATGGCCATCCCGGTGGATGAGGTGGGGAGGGCGATCGCCCAGCGGATCCAGCACTGGTTCCAAAGACTAGGTATAGTTGGGAAAGTGATGAACTCGATTGGCATGGTGTTCCCATCGAGCACCTGGTCATCCGGCCACATCATGAAGGGAGTATATAAGGTCAAACTGGCGAGCTGGCGTCTCCCACGATCCGGAGCTTCCGGTCGGACACAGATAGGCTAAGCCCTGCATGAGCGAGATTCGAGCAACCTGAAGAGATCAGGCACTTTTCGGAGGTCTTTGGCCTGGTCTTTGGTCTTTGGCCTCCAACTGGCCTGGTCTCAGGTTTGCGCGCGGATCCTGCACTTCGCAGAGTCCTTCTTGGCGCCCAAGCCGGTGGACGAGGCGAGCCCTTTGCGCGCAAGGCCACGGGCCGCCCTTGGAATTGAACCGAGAGCCTCGTTTTCGAGTTTGACGCCCAGACCTCTTCACCCTACTGTTCCTTTTCGACTGAAATTCTCACCCTTTTCAAAGGCCAAAGACATTCTCCATCCTCCAAGCCTCTTCGAGTATCCTGAGGTTCCGAGCTGTGCTCCGCAACTCTTGGGTCCTCTGCTGGACTTGCTCGAAGACCTCGACGTGGAAAAGCCCCATCGCAGCGGCAGTCCCTCCCAGGTGGGAGTGGTGTAATCTGTGAGCTATATGGTGTGCATCAATGGGGGCGCCCCAAAACGGATGGTTTATGATAACAACAACCCATTAAATGGATGATTTGGGGGGTCTCCCCATTGATGGAAACCCTCATGTCTCAGCCAGGTTTCAATCGCTCCTTTGCCTTTTTCTGACGGGTGGATGGGTGAGTGGGAGAACCCACCGTCGTGGCCTGGCCACCGTTCCACCGGATGAATGCACCGTGCTGGAGGGATCCTTGGGGAGCTGAGTTGATTGGTCCAAGATCCATCATATACAACAAGAAGCCGTGCCAAGAATCATGAGGTTAATGGCCTTCCATTAAAAAATAGTATGATAAAGATGGAGAAGAATACAAGTAAATGATAAAGGAAGGCTTTGCCCTGCTGACAGGTGCTGTGTTTGATGGGCTGTGCGCCCTCGCTGGACTCTGTCTATGCGCGGCGCTTCTTGCAGATCTTCCTCCCGCCCCTCCGCAGGTGCCGGGAACACACGGCGGAACGATGCCTAGAGAGGTTGAGTAAGTCCTTTTTCGCCTATCCCATATGTACCACGAGTTCGGGTCCCCAGTTCAGGTCTCTCCACCTCTCTTGGTTGGATGTGCATGGCATGGCCCTGAAAGAAAGACTACTTTCCTTTGAACTCCACCTTCCTTCCATGGAACGTGAGTCAGAGGGTACATCTCAGTGGCCTGATCACGAGAAGATGGGGACTCTTTGTGAGTATCGTGGAAGGGGGCACTAAGTGAGGATGTTCGACATTTGTGGTGCCAGTGCGGTGGCAGGGGCTCTATAACGGCCATGAAGCGATAGGTCTTTATGAGATCCAAATTGTGTGGCATGGTGACATTTCACCCGCAGAAGTGACAAGGAACATGTCCAACACAGGTGTCCCTTGAAGCATTGGTGGGTTTGGTGTGAGTATGCCAGTTTTTTGGGGTTTGGCGAGCATAGTGGTCCCCAAATGGATAGAAAGTAGACCCCCACCGAAGAATGTAATGTATTGGAATGCATGCCAACTATCTATTTGGGGAACTATATACATTTGGTAAGTATGGGTGGTCACCTGGTCACCTGGTCACGTGGGATCCGGTGGGATTAGCATCCGTGTTCGTCAGGATGCTCTACCTGCATGGCCCGCATCGTCTCGCGAAGGGCGCGCAGGAGCTGCAAAGGAGCTGGGAAGCCGGCGAGGGAAGCGGTGCGACTTGCACCGCCGTGTGGGTGCGTGCGTCGTAGTGCCCTGCTGTGCGTTGCGATGTTTGGTAGGGAGCTTCGAAAATGGGGTCCAGAGGCTAGCCGCCCGTGGTCGCTGGTGGGGTTCAGTTTTGGCCGACACCGAAGGGGCAGGCGTCTAGACCATGAGTCGAGGGGATACCCCGAAGTGAACAATCAAGACGTAGTCCAAGACGTCTATGGGACCAAATCGATCCCTCTCTTTTGCCCGAATTGTCGGGCCATATCATCATCCCCACCTGGGATTGGAGAGGGTTTGACCGGGTTTGACCCTCCTCCATTTCCCTTGGAGTTCAAGACACTAAATGAGGCACCCGGCTGATGTTGTTCATCGCTGGTGACCGGAGTGACCAGCACGAAACCAGCCACCACGACCTGACCAGCCACCCAACAGTGATGAAAAACGGTGAACTATTATTGTATAATTATACGGTTTATGAATCTTTTAGCTCATTTGGTAGGTAATTGCAACGGATGAGAAACAAATATTTCATATCGTCCGTGAAATCCATCAATGATTGCAATTCTCAGCCTCTAACTTCGGGCTATCGAATCAATCCATCCCTAGAAAGGGCAAGTGGTCAGTCGTGATGCCTTGGCTGCCAATCGAGCTAAAAGATGAAAAACAAACCGCATAATTATACAAATAGTTCACCCCACAATATTGTTTCCTCTCATGTTTTGCTTTAACATCTTTCATCACATTTGCTTTGATGCCTTGGATGTTAAACTATACTAATCTATTCTCATTGGCTCTTGGCTAGTAACATGAAATGAAACACATGAACGCCAAAATCTAGGACATGAATAAAAAGACTGTTCAACTCACAACTGTGGGCAAGAACCGTATCAAAGTTTTTTTTTTTTTTTAAATGAGGTTTATTGCCTCAGCGCACGTTTGTACAGCGAGCATTCTCAGAACTAGTTATTTGTACACACAGGTAGATCCAAAGAGAGGAAAAGCGTACCAATCATGATTTCTGGTCCTTACTGTATATATGATGTGACTATTCTGTTTTTTGTTCATGTACTACCGCGCGCTTTCCTCTTGTGAGGAGCTTGTTGGCCCATCTCCACGTGTTGCAGCGAAGCTGCAACCACTTCGCGAGCAGCAGCGTGCCCTTGGTGGACCTGGCGCCCGACCTGCTGCAGATGCGCCCTGGAGTGGTGGAAGGGAGACGGGCGGAGCGAACGAGCGATGTTGGTGTGATCAGAGGGAACTCATATCTGGAAGAAGCAGGGGCAATACCCCTCTGAACTAACATGGACCCTGAAGATTACCCTGTGGAAGACAGTTTTCCTCTATATTATACAACCCAGCGGTTTTGAGAGTCCATCTTAATCTGCAGGGGCAATCTTTTGATTTGAGATCGCCACATATCAGGAAGAAGCTGGTTTCAATTGCAAGCACACGGCTAAAAAGCACAACGGACCCTGCGGGAATCCCGGGCGAGCCACTCTGCAAGGTTGAGAAACCCAAAGAAGCCGCCGAACTGAAGCAGCCCAGGAATTGCTCATTCATGTCTTTTGGTGTGGATTGCCTTTCGGCGCCACCTGACACCCATCAGATTCCGGAATCTCTTGTCCGGCATCCCCCCTGAAGTAGTGTGGGTAACTGCAGTGAATCCCACCACCCCACGTTGTTTGCTGCCGTTCTCGCCCGCGCCACAAGCGCGGCTTCCGCCGGGTTTCAGGTTTCAAGACCAGGAGCAGATCATCCTTCCCATCGACGTGGCGCCTGGCGCGCCGCTCATGCGCCTCACGCGCGCGTCGGAGGTAGTGCCCCGTCATGCGACAATGAGACGAAAAAAAGCAATTGTGGAGAGAATGGGTGATTTAAGGTTTTGAGGATATTTGGGGGAGATGAGGTTTCACACCAAGACTTTGTCACCATGATTTGATTTCAGTGCACAGGCGAGCTGCTCTTGAACAGTGCAGTAGGAGCAGCACATGAACCCCATCACCCCAGTTCGACTGAGTCGCAAGAGAACGATCCTGCTCAGTCGCTGCAAGGTTGTCAGATCACAGCGGGGCCATCCCTTCAGCACTTATCCTCCACTCTTAGCCTTCTGTCTCTTCACCGCAAAGCCTACAGGGGTGACCAGGCACTTTTCCACCTCAGTTCGAGATCTTCATCACTCATCCAGTCACTCTGCATGGCGTGCGAATGGCTCATCCCGTGGCCCAGGTGCACTTGCTCTCCACCAAGACCAAGCCCAAGAAGTTAAGCTTTGACGCTTGGAGTCGCTGGACCCGGACCCTAAGTCCCACAAAGCACCATTGGTTGAACATGATTAGGACAAGGTTTTTGTATGATATGGGCCTACCCCATCTCCCACTCCAACCATGTGTGCAGATGGCTTGGCTTCAGGGAGTCCAGTCTTTTCCTTCTCCTTTTAGAGCCACCGCTTTTCCTTCTCCTTGTCCCGTGGCGCTAGCGCCAGCCTGCGCCTCCCATCCCCTCCGAGGAGGCGCAGGATGGCACCTGGCACAGCTTCCTCCTCAAGGGCAGCGACGATTTGCGCTTGGATGGCCGAATCATGCAGCTCTTGCAGATGGCTTCTGGGACCACTCGATGTCTGCGAGCGTCGAGCCGGGGGGGGAGTTCTCCCTGCACAGTTCCGGACCGTCCGGACTCCCCAAAAAGCCCACCGTCAGGGTGTTTGGGAGGCCGAAGTTCCGAGGAATAGAAACAGCTATGCCTCAAAGCCACTTGAGTGCAGACTCCAGGTTCCACCTGCCAGATGTTTTGATGGTTTTGTAGGTGTTTACGCAGGGTCTCCAATTCGACCCCCATGGTACAAGGGTCAGCCAGTGTCAGGTTCATTTCATCGGTGGTTAACTGTTTATCATTTCAACATTGAGAGGTTCAGTTTAGTTATCAACATGGATTTTAGCAGGCGCCCAACGTTTTGTCACCAGCGCACCCTACTAGTGCTACTCGTGAAACCTCACACGCCTTTCACCTGGCGTGCCAACCTCACCATGGTCCGTCTCTGGTCCGGGTGCCGACCTGCGAGGCCAATGCGGTGGTGGAGGCGGGCGCTTGCAAGGCCTTAGAGGCCTTGGGCCCCACCTGCGGGACTCGTGGCCTGCGCTGCCGGGGGTATGATGTGGTTCCCATCGCTGCCAGGCGCGTGCACCGTTGATTTGGTGCATTTTTCTATTTGCTAGGGGCGTGGTTTTGGACTCTTGTGGGTTTTAATGGGGTTTTGACATTTTGGTGGTCAGCTTCCAGCCGCCCCAGCCCTGGCCACGCCATTGGGCGCGGGGTGGCTCTTTACCCGTGAAAACCTATCCTACATACATTGCAAGCACCATCGTATATTTATAAAGATAAAAGCCTTCCGATCCTATCCTATCCTATCCTATCCTATCTATCTATATCTATATCTAGATCTATATCTTTATCTATATCTATATCTATATCTATCTATATCTATATTATATATATATATGTCTGATTATATCTATATCAAAAACAATATATAAATAAATACATGCTGTGCTATATAGGAAATAAACAATATTAGGGCCGAGCAAATTCATTAAAGGGCCATGTTGGCCTGACGTCGGTGGCGGATCCGCCGTAGGGCGGGGCTGATCCGCTGGGTGGCGGCCGTGCCGCTCTTCGTGATCCACAAGCAACGGCGCCAGGTGAGACCACCGACACCGGGGGGGTGGGGCTTTTTTTGGGGCGTGAACGGCGGGTTGGAAGAGGAGGAACATGAAGAGGCGGCGTTGTTTTGGGGATTTTGTGTGTTGTTCTATTTATTTTTGGGGGGGTTTGATATGTGCACATGATGCAAGCGTTGATCGCAAGGACTTAGTTAGACATGCAAGCTGCAGCGGCCTAAACGAGAGGGATTCTAAATGATCTGATGCATTCTTAGCAATCCACTTGGTGAACTTATGGAACTGCTTCTGATATGCTAAATTGATGCACCCTATACAACTCCGGTTGAGGCATCTCAAAAGCAGGAGACGGAAAAGCCCAAGGCTGGGGGGGGGTGGCGAGCTTTGCTCAGAGGGGTTGGGGCCAAATGTCTACTCGACCGGGTCATTTTCCAGACAGTCTCATCAGTATATCTTACCCAGAACTTCCCATGACTCATTTCTACCCCACCAGGTAGTCATGATCCACCAATTGTTAGGGGGTAAAACGCATCATGACTGAACTTCCCGGGTTTTGATCGCTGTGGGTCGCGCCTCTCAACGTGTGGAGTTGACAAGCTTGCGCGACGCCGAAAAAAAGCCGAACTGTGGAGGGTTCGAGACACTTCCAATCAGCTCTTTCATCATGGGGGGGCAGAGTCGCAAGTCCGAAGATTTTTTTGGTACCCTCCTTGGAACTAACATAATCGTGGAGTGACTTCACCACCTGCTTGCTCTTCGAATTGAACATGGTCTTCCTTTTCGGAGCCATCCACGTTAAGCCCATGTGAACCTCTCAGGGGAGGAGTCCACGTGGCGCCCAAGGGGCGCGACCCAGGGTCCCCCTGCCGAAACCACCACCCAAACCGTTCTTCCTCGGTGACCAGACGCGGACGGGGCGGCTGCGTCTACTCGCCGTCACCAGGCCTTGGCGAGTGCCGACCTGTGGCATCGGAAGATTCAACAACACCTCAGGTGCGGCGTCACGTTCCATGCAGGGCTAACCGACTCAGGAACCTGCGGTTTTGAGCTAAGTCAGTCAAGTGCCGTGCAGCTGTGGGAGTCAAAGGATTCAAGCTTCGCCGGAGCGAGCTGCGGAGGGGCGTTTGGTTGGGGAGAGAAGTAGCTGTGCAGGTTTGTGAGTTGTGTGGCTTGAGTCAAAAGGCCTGCCAGGCTCGCTTTCCACCGTCCACCCTGGATTGCAATCCAGCCCGAATGGTGCGCAGCTCACATCACTCATAAGGACAATGGGTGGTATGTCTTCAAGCAGCACCGTCTCCAAGACTACAGTAGATGGACAATATAATCAAACCTCAGAACATCATGTTGTCTCCATGAACTCCGCACCCCAAATCTCAATGTCAGTTACAAGTTTGTTTGGTACCTTGGGGTTTGATGAGTTTCGTCCATTCGGCCCTAGTCTCCGGGAATAAAACTTAACATTGAACTGTGGGGGGTGGCGGGGGGGAAGTCTATGTGGTCAAGGGTTTGAACATTTCGTCCATCTACGGTAGTAAGGTTCAACCAACTTCCGGGTCCAACGTCCGCGCGTCACGTGGACTCAGCGCGTTCACGTCCAGCTTCAAGACTTGGCACGCTCCTTTCAATCCAACAGGGTCTCCAATCCTCCTCGCATCGGAACACGCTCGCGTTCGCTCGTTTTGCGGGCACGGCCGGCACGGCACGCCCTTCTTTCAGAGTCGATCGCCGGACTTCCAGGGCGATGGACTCGGATGTGAACCACCCGCGCCGGCACTGGCCGATGGAGGCGCTTCGGAGGCGCGGTGTCTTCGACACGCCGCGTCCTGCGGTGCCCGGGGACCCCGGACCCCGGGGCCCACGAGCGTACCGTCGGTTGGGCGGTTGGGCGTTTGGGCGGAAGCGTTGTGGAGCACTCGCCTTTTTTGTTGGGACCATTTGGGTTGGGTTCTCTTGGAGCACTTGAAAGGGGCGTGGAGAGGAAGCCGCTTTGTAGAGGAACATCGTTTTCCCAGCCATCCGCTTCCATGAGTGTGTGATGTCATTGGTTGAGATCGTGATGCCGAGCCAGAGGTTTGTTGAACAAGCTCTTCATGACCAAGGGTTCTGATTTCTTTAATAGAATGAAGTGCATGGGGTTTGGGCGCTGGTGATGGCACCATCGAAATTCTTGGTGAGATCCCAAACATCAATCAACGAACAGATTTCGGGTTTTCTTCAATTTCCTATGGTCCTATTCCCCCTTTTGGGCACATCCTTTGGGTGCACGGTTACACCGAATCCAGGCAGAAAACCTCCGCCAGGACCTTTGATGAGATGCAAGCAGATTCGCCCTCGGACCTCATCAGTCGCGAGCTTTTCTTAAGCTCTCTCCATCCAGGACGGGCCTTTTTGATTTTTTGGCCCCGCCCTAAGATACAGTTTTCCTTTGTAAACATCTTCTGGTGAGGAGTTCAAACGAAGGCAGAGACAAGCATTTAATTAGGTAGGTTGACGCTGCATATTAGGGCTTGCCTCTTCTTTTGAGATGTGGGTAGGTTTCGAAGTAGGGTCTTGAGTGCTTGACAGCTAGCTAGTGGTGAAGAGTTGTCACTGCTTGATAGCTGCGTAAGAGTAACGGGTCCCGACAAAGTCGCCCGCTCATTGCACACAGTAGTGGAAGGACAGCACTTCTTGCGGCAGAGGGCATATACCTTGTCGACCTCATTTAGCTCGACGCTTGTGAGGGTGGCTGGGGAGGTGGAGATGCCCCAATGGTGGAGAGGGACCGAGTTTGGAGATACCCAGTCCGGGGAATAGATTACATATGCATGTCTTGATGTGCTTATCGTGTGTCCCTTGGACAAGTGGACAAGGGCACAAACGTACGCTGTAAATCCAACTAAACCTTTACTTGTGGGTTTGATTGTGCCGTCAAGTTTGTGAGAAGTATTCACGAGGCGTGCAGGATGCTCAAGTTTGATCAAGAAGAACCGCCATCCCCATCCCATTCCGTCCCATCAAGCAGTCCCGAACGACCCACGGTGCTCCGATCTTCTTCGTTCGCGACTCGCGACTCGGACTGGCCGACCGTCGAACGCCTGGGATCGTCCGGGCCTTCCGAGGATCTTGGGGCATCTCATTGGCCTGGGAGATCGTCACTTGGACAACCTGCTCTTGGACCTGACCACCGGAGAGGCGGCACCCGGTGTTCACCCACCGATCGTTCCGGGTGGCGAGATGACCAAGCCATAGGCCCTATAGGCCTGGAGAAAGCCATAATGCCTGTCATGAGTTCAAGGAGTTGGGCCGAAAAGACCCCGGCCACGTGGCAGGTTGAACCGGTGTTGGTTCCCCGACCCCCGAGCTGGCCGGGCCTTGGAGCGAACTTCCACCTCTACCACCAGGGGTCTATAGCGACCTTGTGGGATAGAGAAACCTTAACTCAAGGATGCTCAAGGTATGCAACAAGAACTTGGTGCCCGCGCTGCGGGGCACCGCATCTCACGGTCTGCGCAGGTGGTGCACGTGGACTATTCCATTTGCTTTGACCGTGGCCAGCGCTTGCGTGTACCAGAGCGGGTGCCCTTCCGCTTCTCGGAGAGAAAAGCACGTGCGGCGCTTCGTAGGGGTACAGGGCTGCTCGGGTGTACGGAGTGCTTAACTGCAGTACTCAGGGTGTTGCCTTGCTAGCAAGGGATTGAACAAGTGTGGGTTTGTGGGTGTGCGTGTCCCATCATGCCATAGTATATAAATGTCTAACCTCCGTTACTGGGATAGCCGCCCGTGCTGTGGAACACCTCCTCCTATGCGAGCTCTTCGGAGTTTGCAGCACCAGCCCACCGCACGACGCGCGACGAAAGCCATGCCAACGAAGACGCCGGTGAAACAACACGACGTGGCTGGCGAAACGGTGAAACCACGCAGTTTCGCCGTGTTTATACATGCTTATGCTGAGACATGCATGGCTTAATAAGGCTGAATCTGTGAGACAAGCATATGACAACTGGCGGGATCAACCACACCTGATCAGTCTACCTTTACCAAGATGACTTGGATGACCTGATCAGTCTACTCACTGTGCTTTGTGCTATTTTGTGCTGTATATTTTTTCAGGGCCCAAGAGTTCAGCAGCTAACCCGTTTGGCACGAGACTGGATCGGGATAGCTGGGGCGAATTTCGACACTTCGGAGTGTGAACCTTTGGAATCCGGGTTTCACGGTTGCACCCCACGGCAGTTGGTGAACGGCTTGCACTTGGTGCCCAGGAGTTAAGCTCCAACTGACCTGATGCACCCCCTTGATGGAGGGGGATTGGTTGTTGCTAAGGCCTCACGCGGTGTATGGTTCATGCTCTTGGGCCTCTGGGTTTGGGTGGTCCCTTCGTGCAGACGATTCTTGGCGAAGAGCTGGGCAGGTCTGGATGCCAGGCACTGGGAGTGTGCTATGAAGCACTTGGGTTTAGTGACTATGTTCCCCCGGAAGCGCCCTTGCCCAACTTCTCCCCAGCGGCTGCCGTCCATGCTGCTTGAGTTCGGTCAGGGAAGCTCCAACAGCAACTGAGGATGGTGAAGGAGTGAAGGATGACCTTCGTTGATTACACCCTGGAAGACCCCAAAAAAGACACTCGGTTGGTAGAGGAAAACCACCTTCCAGGGACCCATTGTGGTCGAGTTTGATGGGAGTGTAAGATCGGACGGTCACTTGGTGAAGGTCCATGAGCTCGGACCTGGGCCCGGGGAGGATTGGACCGTCTTGGCGGACCTGGGCGCATGTCATGGGGCCGTCACTTGGTACTCGTCATTGGTGTCACTTTGGGCCCTTTGCCATCGCCTCATGGCGCGCAGATGTTTCCTCCCCGTCAGGATGGAGGTGGGCTTGGGTCTCATCGCCGAGTGGCGCGAGCTCATCCTCTCCTTGATGGACTGTCTGGCACGGGGGTCACGGACTGGAGCGCTGAACTGGCTGAACTTGAGTCGAGATCACCACCGGGGGGGGTCCCCACGTCCAACTAGATCGGTACCAAGTTCTTTTTCGGTTCGCCGTGTGGTCAGTGGCTACGGTGTTCGCATGCCCAAAGTCACATCGCGTGTTCAATGGCAAGTGCCAAATGGATCCGGGATTTGTTATTTCCTATGTGAGCCTATGTGGGTGTATTTTCATAGGGACCCCCTGGCCGAATGGGTTGTGGTCTATCTTCCTTCTTCCAGGGCGTCAAACTGGGAGGTCTCCCTAATTCAATACACACCCATAAAGGTGGGTGGCTCAAACTCTGAGGTCTTGATTTCGCTTCAGAATGAAGTCACCGCAGGGCGAATCTTCGACTGATCACGAAAGGTAGCGGTTACGCTACCTGAGTTTTCCTTTTGCTTTAGCAAAAAAGTATTAACCCAGAGCTGCAGCCTATCTCTCGGAGAAATGGTCCCCGACATCTTCGTTTGCTGGCCGGGGGGGGGGGCCCCCCCCCCCCCCCCCCTTTCAACTCCACCCTAGCGCGCCTCGGGGTCAACCGTTCGAAAACACTGTAAATATCAGTGTTTTCAGCTCTTCCAGTCCTCAGCAGTGACCAAAAATCATGGAATTTACAGCGTTTTTTGCGGCTGTCCGGCAAAAAACACCGCAAAAACCGATGATGCGTCTCGGTTAGAAAAATGACCGAAAAAAGACCAAAAACCAGGAAAGATTTTGTCAGAAAGGGTTTTTGAGGCTTTTGGAGGCTTCAAAATTGCACAAAACTATGGTATTTACAGGGTTTTGTGCACCTTCTCGGCAGAAAACGCCGGTATTTACACGGTTTTCTGCGCTTTTCCAGCTCTCAACCGTGGTGCACCTTTGGATCGACGGCTACAAAATACCGTAAATACCAGTGTTTTCAGCTCCTCCTGTCTTCAAGCGTGGCCTTAGACCTTGCCGCGGCTGTGGATCGACGGCAACGAAACCTTGTAAATACCAGTGTTTTTGAGCACGTCCTGTTTGCAAGCATGGCCTGCGGCCACGCAATTTACAGGGTCGCCGCACGTCACTATGTAAATCCGAAGTTGCACTTGAGAAATATGTGACTCCTTTTGAAGGCACGTCAACCTGTATTGAAACCGCTAGACCGCTACAGCTTCTGGAGGTTTTGTCAAGCGTTTGTGCATTAGTCTTTCTTTCATCACGCTCACTCACTTCTCTTCAAACAAGTGGGGGGGCCTCTCACCTCCTCCCGGATTACGCCTGATTCCCTGCTACCTTTCGTTCACCCCCCCTCCTCTCTCAAGTGCATGGCAGGTGTGAAGTGCTCAAGTGGTTCTCAAGATTTCTGACCTCACACCCTGCTAGAGGCAACTGGCCCAACAAGTCTCACTGATCTTGCATCATTTGATTTTGGATCTGAGAGGTCTTCTGCCTCCCCCTCAGCCAAGACCTCTTCCCAGAACTCCTTTGCGAGGAGCCTTGCTTGGCCTTGGCGCCGGTGAATGATTGGGTGGCGCCGGTGATGAGCCCCTTCCAAAAGACCAAGGAGGTGAAAGAAGCGAAGGTGGACACGTCCAAGGATCACAAAGAGGAGGCTGGCCCAAAAAAGAATATAGACTTCTGCCAATTCCATGTGACCCACTTTATGTTCTCATGCTTGGTTTGTTCGGCCTTTTCCCGGTGCAGGCGGCCCCCGCAGCGCCTCCCGGGCTGGCGCCGAGCGGGCCTGCGCCCAGCGCGGCGGCGAGGTCCAGCAGCGAGGCGCCGGTGAAGTTGGAGGCCGAGAACCAGTTGGAGTGGCCGCTGGGCTGCGAAGGTGAAGTTGTGTCATCTGAGGCTTGAGGCCATGAGGCTCAAGGCTGCACTCAAGAAGTACTTGTATGTATATATATATATATTTAATTTGTTTATTCCAATATACACTGTATAGACATGATCGACTGTGGCCTGATGGGGGGACCCACCTGAAGCAGAAACCATATACATCCATATGTACCTACAAAGCATGTTCATTCGTCCTGTCAGTTCACCCTGAACTTCATCGACAGCCTTGCCCGCCCCAAGGCCCACCCTGGGCGCCGCGCCGCCGCCGCCGCCGCCCGGGCCTCCGCCACCTCCACCGGACGCGGCGGGCGCGGCGGGCGCCGTTGCGGAGGCCTCTGAGAACAGCTCGGAGGAAAGCCACGAGACGCCAGCGACTGGGATTGGTGCAGGTGAATCAATTGGGGGCTGAAGATGGCTGTGTTGGAGGATTGTTGGTCTCATGGGAGGCATCATTGGTGGATGGATCGATGTTGGATGCCGGCTTTTTGGTGGTTCTTTGGTCAAGAAGGGGTTCTCGCCAAAAGGCGCATGGAAATGAAGCGGCTAGAGATTCTTCGGCGATGGGTAGCATGGAGACAACCAAAAAAATTCCTCTAAGAACTTTCGGAGATCCATTGCAGCCCTCAGAATGCAGTGCCACTGCACTGTCCCGGGCCAGAACGGGGTCTGGAAGAAGGACAATAGACTCATTGCCCTTGGAAGTCTTTAGTCTCCCTATTGGGTTGGAGGCCATCGCTCTTAAAATGCACACCTCTCTCCTCGATGAAGCCTCATCTCTCCAGTCTCCGAGCTCTTGACCAAAGGCCCGCGACGAGGACGAGGACGAGGAGGGCGAGGAGGGCGCCCGCAGCGATGGGTCGGAGCCGCCGAATGGGGAGGAGGAGCGATTGCTGGCGCAGGACAGGGAGGAGGACGAGCCTGGGCGAGAAAGGGCGGTCTTTCAGTTTTCAATGAAACGATGGATGTGCAGTGTCTCTTGTAAATATACACAGATATAATATATATATATATATATGAGGTAGGGACCTTTGGGGTTCATTTCGCGCGGTCTATCAGAGACCAAATCGATATCCGCCCAACGAACCTTCCCCGCTGCACAGCGATCTTTTCTGACCCTGAAGGGTGCCAATTGCACCGATCCGGATGCATCACTCTGCTCAAGGATTCCTTCGGATATCTATGCCGGTAAAGACCTTAACTGCTTTGGTTATAGACAAAAATATATTGGAAACTTACACTAGTGGAGAGGTATTGTTGTCAAGTGTACAAGAAACCAAAAACCGTTGTCCAAGGGGTGACCGACCAAGCAAACAAAAATATACTTCAACAAATCCAAGCTGCAGGCCCGTCACGCTACAATGCCAATACAAAATGTTTGGGTCCCTTCCTGAGATCAGATGCGATGCATTGCGATGTAAAAAACTATCACAGAATCACAACAAACAAACAGCTAAACTTATATACTTCAAGAAAGTTTATATGTATAAAGCAATACTTAGGACAGTTCCTAGCGTCAGCTTTGACACTTGTTCTACCAGCCACCCTATAGCGCGCGTTCTGACATATGTTCCGGCATGCAGTCTGGGATGTGCTCTGAGATATGTCTTGGCATAAGTTTGGCATTGTCGTAGCGTCAAGTGTGACTGACTAATCTAAGCGTGCAGAGCGTACATGCGCAGTCTCGCGCAACACACTTTCAGTCTGACTTGAACCCCACGCACAAGCACCCACATTCTGTAGATAGACATACATACATACATACAGACATTCGTTTCTGGAGCTCTATTGTGGCAACCCGATGATTTATACTTGATGACATGGATCTGCTCCACGCAGCACGTTCGCACAACAACAATCAGAACAAAGCTGTGACACAATCATATACTAATATGCAGCGCGCTTTCAACATGAACAGGCTCTTTTTCCAATCCTTTCAAGGTCTTTGGCTCTTTGGCCTTCTGCCACCAGACTTTATGGAGTGCCGCCTTGCAACTGTGAGGACATTCCTCTTCTTCGGCTTTGCCTTGGGCACCTTTGTCGCTGGCCGCTTCTGTACCCAACTTTTGACCTTCAGGGCTTCGCCTTTTCTGCTCGAATGCAATGGCAATGTGGCTTTCCTGTTGCCTTGGCAGAACTCCGCCCATGTTGCCTCGCTCCAGATGCTTGCGCATAGAGTTCTCGACAGCAGTACGCACTCTTCAGTCTGTCGAACGGTTGGAAAGCAAGTGGCCACATGATGGGCAAGCATTTTTTCCAAAGTGCATAATGTCCAGCTTCAAGCGTAGAGTGCTCTGATGTAAGCTGCGAATGGATCGCGTCCAAGAGTTAATCTGAGCATGGAGGCTCTCGTTGGATGCCGTGCCACTGGGCAAAAGCGCTCGGTCCCTTGGTGTCAGAGCATGTCGGAGACGAGCGCCGTTGAAAAGCCACTCTAAGCGCTCCGGCGCACAAGCAGCCCACAACACTTTCCTCAGCTCTTTGTTGCTACCAGTGACTTTGCGGACAACCTCTTCCTGATGCAACTTGCAAATCGCAGCAACACTTTCGATGAACGTAATCCGGCAGTACATGGGCGATGCACTGTCGATGGCGTCAATGATGTTCCGCGCCCTTGTCATCCCCAGATTCTTCGGATTCAGGATGGCTTCTCGCGTTCTCTCCTCCTCGCGGGAAAGGCTTGGAGGAGAGACGCCACAGAAAAAAGGACCCCAAGACTCTGGGCGGGCCACGCTGTCGATTTGATTGATCCTGTTGAGCGCGGCCCGCAACATTTTTGACCCAGCAGAACGTCTTCCCCACTGAGCATACTCGTACACAATGGCAAGGTGAACTGGGTCCAAGCAAAGGCCAATCAGGTTTGGACATGCAGAGTGCAACTCTTGGAAAAGCTTCAAAGATGGAGAGTCTGTAGAAACATACCTCACTTGATGCAGAGCTGCGGTCGAAAACTTCAATTTCAGCACATCGGCGATTGTTGTGGCATCTTCTCCTCTGACAGGCACCATGGCCAAAACAGCACTTGTGCGCCCGCGGATCGTCAACACTCTTCGCAAAGAATCTTCATCGTTGAAGCATGCCGAATTTCGTACCTCTGCAGCGGCTCTATAATGCGCTTGGCCCTTTACCGACATGCACACCTTCAATGTACAATCAATTGAAATGACCAGAAATTCGTTATCATTCTCAAACGTGCTGAAGATATTGCGCGTGAGTGCAGCCATCTGCTGTGATTGGAAGATATCTTCCACCAAAGGCCACCAGTGACGTGTGTGACCTGGGAACAAGTTTCCCAGTGGATTGCCAGCTTCACATGCACGAAGATGTAATCGAGGCCAAATGCTTTTGACCTTAGAAACCGTTTTCCGAGATGCGGTCACTAGCAAGAAAAGTTGTTGAGCCTAGATTAGACACCACAAAACTTCAAAAGGCCAAGATGCATTCGAATGATGTAGGACAATCTCCCGGTATAAGACATCCGCGAACGACCTGTCATAGTAGATATTCAGGACCCTTCGCACAGACAACGTCTCAATTGCAGTGGTGTTGATGTATTGCGGCCCATTGGCAGTGAAAAGCAAACGGATTGATTTGTCAATGTTGTTGCAACGCCCATCCAACGGAGGTTGCACTTGAGAACGAAGTAGCTGGGAGCTGCGAAAAAGAAAGGCATGTTCACATTTTCGGTGAAGATTATCTGCATCATGCAAGGCAAGAACTATCTTCATTTGCTTTGTGCCAGAACAGACGAACTGATTGCTTCGCACATGATACAAACGCACATGATCCCGGAGCTGACTGACTCTGTTGAAGCAACGGAACGGACAGAGAGCACATCTGAAAAACCCATTCATTCGGCGGATGTTGCTGGCGTCTATCTCTGCCATGAAACTGTTCACCTCCTCCTCGAGTGAATCCCTGATAACATCTTCAAATCTGCAATGCCCCTCGTCATCAACAATCAAAGCACTGTCTGGCGCTTCCTCAGAATCTGAATCTGTTGACAAGGAGCCAGCTTGTAAATCTAAAAGAATGGAATCTTCAGCAGATGGGCATGTGTCAGTTAAAGAAAAGCAAACCACTGTCAGTCGATCGATGCCAACGCTTGCTGCAGCAAGGAAGGAAGTCACTGGCATCGTATACTTCCGACATCCGTTCCACACAAAGGCTTCATCACTACCCTCGGGAATGCTGACACCAACGCAATGCCCTTTGCCTTTGCCTTCTGCATGCAATACGAACTTCCCCAGAAGGGGATCTGGAAGCCCCAGGCATGGTTGAAGTTGCTGACCAACCAAAGCAGAACACTGCTTATACGTTCTGTGCTTTCGTTCCGACATGTACTTGTTTTCCGGGCAGTCTGATGAAAATATTGTTTCGAACTGGCTGGTGTTGTCACAAAGGTGCCAAAGAGCGCACGGCACGCAATTCCCATCCTGGACGAACAAATCTGGAAGGTCTGTCAAATCTTCAGTCTTCGTCGCTGCGTTGCAAATAAGCTCTTGCGTGTGCGAGTGCTCCTTGCAGACCAAGTCAACCGAAAAGTTTGTGTTTGCTTTGATGTGCTGCTCCGACTGTCTCAGGAAAGACTCCACGCTGCCTTCAGTTATGTCCCTGTTCACACGCACACCGTCGAAATGCAGTGACACGTGTGTCGGACGCTGTTGCTTGACAAATTCCAGCCACTGTTCCAAGACAAAGTCCTCCACAGCAGTCCACATATAATGGAATGCGGTTGCGCTTGGGAACGCTTTGTCGTCTCTAGTCAGCAAGTCTTTATAATCTTCGGCCAACAAACTGCAAGCAAACCAGCGTAAATAGGCGGATGCTTTTTGCATTTTCCGCACAAAGGTGCAATCTTTCAGTCTCTCTGGAGGAGACCCTCCATTCAGCACAGCATTAATGATTTTTTTCCCTTCTGACGTCGAAACCTGCAACATGTCCTTGCAAACTTCGTCCCTTGACTGAAGCCACTCCTGCAAGACCGCCAAAATATCCTCTGGCATGGAAGGAGATGGCTC